TTCAAGGAAGTGGGTCTAGGGTCTTAAAGCTGTTAATGATAAATAAGACATGGCTGAAGTGGGGGCTGCCATGGAAGAGGATGCCCCAAGGAAGTGAGGGTGGGCTCTTCACACCCCTGCCCTTAGAGTCTTGGCCTCAGCCTGTACCCACAGTGGGTGTCCCTCCATGTCAACCAGCACATCTCCACGTCCAGCTGGGCCAGCCACTGTGCAAATAGGTCCCCTTCAGCTGACCCCCGGTGCCCCTCCCTGTGCCAGCTGCCCCATGCAGGATGTGGCAGACCAAGAGCTAGGGTGCACCTGGACAAATGACCTTGAGTAAGTCCTTTCCCTTTTAGGTACCTCAGCCAGACCCTCTGTAACATGCCTGGGTGGGATCCTGGAGTCCCTGAGTCCCTTCTGGCTCTTAGGGAAGGACTTCAGAGGGAGCAGGAAGGCCTTAGGCCTGGCCACAGCTCCAGGCCTACCTCCTAGAGGGGACTTTCCTGCCGGCCCCCTCAGGTGTCGCCCCATCCCTTGCTCCCTCCATAGCTGCACCAGCACGGGGCTCTGACCTATGGGTTTTCTGCCACTTCCTGATCCACTTCACTCCAGCCTGAGTTTTTAGGACTTTATTATACCAGCAGCCTCAGCAAGCCCAACATGGAGGGGCTGTGAGAGCTATGCAGGGCTTCTTCAGTGGCTCCCGGAGGCTAGAGGACCGCCAGCTTCTGGGCTTCAGCCTTCTAGGGACTCAGGGCCTTTCAAGGAGCCCCCTCTTGCGGCTTCATCCTATTCTCCCCATAGAACCCTGAACTTAGAGACCCCCCAGGCCAACCCCTTATTGTGTAACTGGGGAAACTTTCACCGCGGGGGGGGGCAGTGACTCCCCCCAAGATGACACAGCAAATGAATGAGTGCTCAGAATCAAATGTGTGGCATAAAGTGGGACATGGGTTCCACCTGCCCCACAGAGACCTCCAGCTGGATGCCAGCTCCAACCTACTTCCCCAACCCTGCTCCATGCCCAGTGCCACTTGCCCAGCCCCCACCTGCCTCCCTGGCTCCTGGTCTCCGTTTTTCTTGCTAATTAGAGGTCTCAGCAATGACTCCACTGTCCCAGCCATTTTAGAGCTGTCATTAATTTCAAGTGCCTTCAGAAATAATCATCACTGTAAAACCCTGAGAGCCGCTGGGATGCAAGTGGGCAGTACCAGCACAAAGCAGGCATGCATGCAGGCCTGTGTGTGCCACCCATTCCTTCCTGTGCCACAGGGGACTAGGCCCTGCCTCCTCAGTCTTCCACGGTGGGGGAGAGCAGGGCTTGTGCTCTGATACCAGACACACACAGAGCTTCGAAGCCCAGCTCTACCTCTTTCACTGCGTAAACTTGAGCAAGTCACCAGCCCTCCCAGAGCCTCAGTTTTTTCATCTATACAATGGGGATAGCAATCTCAATCTTGAAGTGGGATGAAGTATGTAAAGTGTAGCTTAGACCCTGGCTTACAGTAGGAGCCAAATAAATGTTGGAGGGTCCTGCCCCTCCTCCACAGTGCCCTGACAAACCCATTCCCAGCTTCTCTGCTTTGTTGTGAGCACTCAGGCTGTAGCAGACTGACTCCTTGCAGCCACCAATTCCTGCTTTACTGGGACTTGGCTGAGTTTTCACCCTGAAGCCAGGAACATGCTGTCTCAGGCCTGCTCTTGGGAGCTCCTAGTCTGAGGACAGAGGGACGAGACTGGGCCCTTGCCTCTAAGGGCATTTCAGCCTGAGGAGGAGAGACAGGAATAGATGCAAATGGTCTTAGTTTGGTCTTGAAGCACAGGTGGGAACCAGGGAGAGGACAGGCCGAGCAGGTGGACCAGTAAGGATAAAGGCCTGGAGGTGTGGGTGAACATTCTTCAGCTGAAGCTCCAGGGTTATGATCTCCATGTTGTGCCAGCGAAATCTTGGACTGGGTCATTCTGATGTTCCATCTTCTTCATGGCCCTGGGATCCCTGACAGAGCTGTGTTGGGGACCGCCCCACCAGACAGGAGTGGAAAGATACCTGTCCCCAGTGACACCCTCCCCCTTTCATAGGGTCTCTGGTGACAAGGCCAGGGACCTGCACTCTCACCAGGCCCAGGCTGAACCCTCAAAAAGGCCTTTTCTCCAAATTCTTCCCTCCCCGAAGCCTTCCCTTCCCCATTGTTTCCATTGGTGAAATAAGACAGGGAATGCTGGGAGGGGTCATTTCTTTTAGAGAAACGGAAGGGGAAATGGCTTGGATACTGTTCACATGGAGAACTGAGACTCTGGGGCAATCCCTCCCAGACACACAGCTCTTTGGTCATCCCTGCTGCCTCCAAGGTGCAGAGGGACAATTGTGGGCCCCAGAAGACCTCACCTCAGGACGCCAACTTCCTCGGCCAGCATCTGGGGGTTGGGGGTGGGAGCAGTGGGCTCTCCCCCATTTCTCCGTCGAGATCACTGAGGCAGGGAGCAGGTGAGTCGGGGGCGGAGATACGCCGTGGCCGTGCAGTGTCTGCGTCAGCCGCCGAACCAGGAATAGCCCCCGCCCCCGCCGCCGCCCCGCAGCGGGTCTGCTCGCCCGCCGGGTGCCTGGCGGAGCCTTTACGCAGGAGCGAGAGAGCGTCTATTCCTGTCTGGCTGGTGGGAGGAGGCGGCGCGGGAGGGAGGGAGCTCACGGGTAACTCATAAACAGCCGGGGTGGGGGAGCTGGGCAGCCTGGGATGGGGGTCCAGGCGGCACAGGGTTGAGGGGCCGGGGAACCGCCTGCGCTGGGCTACTGAAGCGAAGGGGACTCCTGTGTCGCCTTCTCTCTTCCCCTCCCAGCTTTTATAAGTCCCTCTGCCAAGCCTGCCCCCTGCTGGAATTGGCCCTGGAAGGCGATTCAAATTCCCTTTCTAGGCTTTACTAGCTGTTTAACCACAGGGAAATCACAGAACCTCTCTGAGCCTGGGGTTCCTTCTCTCTGTCACAGGGGGAGCAACAGTGCCTTCTCCCAGGGTCGCTGGACGATGAATGTAGAGTGCACAGTACAGCATCTTCACTTACTAGGAGGGGGCTCCAGCTAGGCCTAGGATGAGGATGGACATAGGAGACAGGAGATGGTTCTCCAGGCATGACTGTTCAGAGCTGTGGTGTGGCTGTGAGACTGAGAAGTACCCAAACTCTGTCGAGCTAGAACAGAAGGTCTGTGCAACTCTTTGGGCTGTGTGTGAGGCTGAACAGTGGAGAAGTAAGATGGTGCTGGGGGGAGGGAGAGGGGGACTGGCGGCCCCACGATGCTAGCCAGGTAACTGCAGTGAATGTCAGACAGGCTCCATGGGGGTCAGGGCACTGGGAGCAGGATTCCCCGTTTCTTCCCCAGAGACTGAAGGGTTTTGGGCCAGTCTCCTCCCCCACGTCTGGGCCCCCCAGCCTCAGCTTCCTTTTCTGCCTGCCGGGACCCCTACCCCGAATGTGCTCATGTGATGCACTCCCAACAGTGGAGAAGGGGCGGGCATGCGGGGTGGTGTCAGCGTTGATGGTTATTCTGATCAAACTAGCTTAGTGTTAAAGGGCATCTGGCTTCAAGGAGATGGAAGGGGGTGTACAGTGGAAGGAGGTGAGGTCCCAAGGGTCGTAGCCCACTCTGCAGGCTTTGCCAAGAGACCTCCACCAGCCGAATCTCTGTATCTGCAGGTCAAGGAGGATGTGGATCTGAGGAGAGGTCCCATTCCTTGGGCCTATCTGAGTATGTGCCTCAACTCAGGATCCCCTGGACCCTTGGGGAGCCGAGTCCGGGGGCTCTGCGTTGCCCTCTGCTGGTCTCTGGGTGCAGTGCCCGCGGCCAGAGCTGGCCAGAGCGGCCTGCTGCCCTCTGCTGGACAGGAAGCCAGGCTGGGCGGGGACCAGGCTGCAAAAGAGGGCGCAAGACCACGCTTGGGGTAGAGCCGCGGGGCTGGCGCGCCTTCTTCGGCGTCCCCCGGAGCTTCCCTCTCTACCTGCCTCGCTCCAAGGCCGCCAGGATGTGGGCCCTCCAGGGATTCGCAGACAATTCCGAGAAGAGGGGACAAGGCGCTTGACCGCGGCTCCAGGCCTCACCCTTCCCACGCCGTCCTCCAAACAACCCTGGTCGGTGGGGAGCCTTGCCGGTTCACGTGCGTGTGTCCGTCCACATGGCAGTGTGCAATGACCCCAGTTAACACGTGTGAACACACGCGCTCACATGTACACGCAAGTGGCCACACGCGAGGGTGGGCACACAGCCCCAGGGAGGACCGCAGACCGGACTCCCCGCGGCCGCGCTGGCCTGGGACTCGGAGGAGCGCGGTCGTGTGCGAGGCTGGAGCTCAGAGGCTCCGGCCCCGGCGCAAGGCTGGCACGCCCCTAGCCCGCGCCCCTTTGTCAGTTTCGCTGCCCCATCAGTGCAGGGCGGTGGTTGGGGCGCTCCTCCCTCTCCGCCCCCTTCTCTGAAAGGAGCCTTGTCCTCCACCTTACTCGCCCCCCCGCCTCGGTTTTGCGGCCGCGCCTTCTCCTCCCCCGCCCGGCTCCCGCCGCTAGCTCGCTCGCTCTCTCGCTCCCTCCCTCCTCCCTCCCTGGCTCGCTCCTCGCGCTCCCTCCCCGCGCCGCGGCAGAGCGCGGAGCCCGGGCGGGAGCCGGCGCGGGAGCCGGAGCGGGCGGCTGGCCGGCGACAGCACAGGCGGCGGCGGCGGGTCCCGGTCCCGGCCCCGGCCCCGGAGCGCGCGGAGTCCCCACCCGCGCCGCTCCGGCTCCTCTCCCGACGCGGGGCTCCGAGCAGCATGCGTGGCCGCTGCCCGCCGGCATCAGCCCTGGCCCCGGCCCCGCTGCGGAGCGCGCCCGGCCTCGACCCCGGCCCCAGTGG